TAAAAAGGTCAATAATATACATAGTCATAAGAAAAAAATATCTAAAATCACATACAAATACAAATAATATCATTAGACAGAAAGGGAAAATATTAATAGAATTAAAATATTAACAACAATAATAATAATAATAAAATTACTAAATTAAACAAACAAAATTAAATGAATGAAATTACAATGACACCTAAACAAATAACCGTAAGGAAAGCATCTAAAATCGATAATCTTCTTTAAATACATCTGCATAATATTACAGGAATCTTAGATTCTTTTTATTCCTAATAAGATAAAGTGATTTTAATTAATAAAAAAATAAATAAATTATATTCTAAAATAAACAAAGAATGGGTAATTATTTGTGAATTTCTGTTAGTGAATGAAAATATAAGATAATGCCATATAAGATAAAAAAATGTATTATGCGTTCCAGATATTTAGCTTTTGGGTTATTATATAAAAAAATTATGTTATTTTAAATTGAAGCAATTCACAGCATTGGCAAAAGCAGATATGTGAGAATTTAGAAGTGACCGAAATTGCTTGGATATTGGACAATCAAAAAACATATGTAGTAGTGCAGGGGTGGCCAACCCTGTTCCTGGAGAGCCACCTTCCTGCAGATTTAAGTTGCAACTCATATCAAACACACCTGCCTGTAATTATCACGTGGTGTTCAGGTCCTAATTAATTGGTTCAGGTGTGTTTGATATTGGTAGCAACTGAAATCTGCAGGAAGGTGGCTCTCCAGGAGCAGGGTTGGCCACCACTGTAGTAGTGTCTCCTCTGCTTGTTTGCAGAAAGAACAGGAGCTGTCGATGTCCGAAAAACTGTAAATACTAAATTTTACAGGGTAGATTTTATGGAAAATTTTAAAATGCATTTCTTTTGCCTTGTTGGAAAATGCAATATTTCCCAGGTAAAAGCCAGGTTCTATTCCAGTCTATATCCTTAACCAAAGACCTTCAGTAAAACTTTCCTCTAGATGAAATTTTCCTTTTACATTGGAAAATTTGACGCACAAAGCTATTGTTACGTTTCAGACTAACACTTTCAAAAAGCAAATTTACAGTTAAATGTACAGTGACTTTTAACTAGGTGAACTAAACCGGGTGATATTGCCTAACAACTTTATTAAATTCATTAGGAGAAGTTGGAAAACAGTGGTAGGTTATAAATGGTTCACGAAAGAATCTTTATTGCATCATCAAACAAGCAAAGGATCCAATTAATGTTATTTTTAAACCAACTTTGGAAAAATAATGATTTGTTTCTGATTGTAATATCTCGGTTATTCCATAAGAAAAATCGGTGGGGAGAAAAATTGTGAACATAACCAAGCTTCCAAGCAAGCAGACATTGCTGGTGGAATTTAGACAAAGCTAAAGATAGCTTGTAGGGAAGATAATTAAATTTAAGAAGAAACAAAAGACTACAGATTTTGTTTTAAAAAAAAGTAGTTGGGAATAAAAAACAAAAAAAAAAACAAATAGACGTTGGATTGGTTAGGCATCTCTTTATCCAATTAATTTTAAAAATGTATATGGTGTCAGAAAAATCTAATAAATTTACACTCCCTCTGCTTTACTATAAGAAAGAACTACCTTTTTTAATTTAAGAGGTTTGTTCTTCCAGATAAATTTCAAGAAAACAGTATTAATTTCTTTGGCCACTTTGTTTTCAACAAATAAAGATAAAGTCGGATATACAAAATGAGAAAGACCCTCTTCCATATAATGACAGGTCCCATTGTAGCCAGGAATTAAGAATATTTTTAGTTTTGCTGATCCTAGACAAAAAAAATTCAAGTGCTGTCTCACTAAAAGATTTTTAATAACATAAATAAATAACCATTTAATTGTGGATTTAACAAGGATATCTTCTATATATTCCTAACTCAAATTATGAACAGGCATTATCTCACATTTGAAGATATTCAGCTTTAGACCAGAAACACTTGAGATATCAGAAATTAAATTTAAAGCCTTTCATACGTTTGAGTCATCTTTTAGAAATAAAGTGGTGTCATCTGCCAATTGTGAAATCTTAATCTCCCTTTCAAAAACAGAAATTTCTTTCAAATCTTGATTTTGCACAATGCTTAAGAACTAATAAAAACTAATAAAAATGAAAAGGAAGAGATTGGACAGTCCTGCCTAAAACCACACAAAATATCAAATCCATTAGAAGTATTAAAATTAACAATCACTTAACTATTGATTCCTTTATAAAACATAGCCATAGTGTTAACAAAAGTATCCCCAAATCCAAATAACCTCAATGCTTAAAAACAGAAACTGGTGCTCAACCGTATCAAAGGCTTTATAAAAATCAAGAAAAAGAATGAGACCATCTGAATGAATACAATCAGCATAATCAAGCAAATCCAAAACTAATGTTATGTTATTAGAAACATGGCGGCCTTTTATAAACCCAGACTGAGTTTCAGAAATAATAGAATCAAGATTTGTTTTTAATCTGTTGGCAAAGTCTTTTTTTTTCAGTATTTTTTGCCACTCACTGTTGCAGTCATGACATGATACATTTCTCCTTCATTTTCCACCTCACACAACATCTGCTATCTCTCTCACATACAAAGACTTTCAGTATTTGAAGTTGATCTAACATTAACACAATTTTGTTTAATTTATATAATCCACTAAGACTAAGTGTTGAAAGATTGAATCATTTCTATATGGACGTAATGCGAAATAACATTCTGATGTTTTGCAGTAATTAATAGAGTTCACATACTCTGTAAGACATATTATATTAAAATGATGGGCAAATCTGTATATTTCATTTGGGTTCCTGCCCACGTAGGTGTGGAAGGCAATGAAAAGGTGGACATTCTGGCCAAACAAGCTCTCAGAATTAGTGAAGTAGATCTAGAAGTCCCATTGAGTAGAGCAGAAGCTAAAATCAAATTAAGAACAATCAGTATGGCAATTATACTGGGATAACAATGAAACAGGCAGACATCTATATAATATACATAAACAAGTCGTTGCTGGAAGGAGGGAGAACAGAAATCATAGGGAAGTACGATTATAACTCAGATGAGAATAGGTCATACTGGACTCAACCATATTTTATATGAAATAGGGAAACACCCAACTGGACAATGTATACACTGTAATCAACAAGAAACAATATGACATGTTTTATTCCACTGTAGTAAATATAATAAAGAACCATACAATCTTATTCAATCAGTTAAAAAGAGCAAACTTCAGGATTTCACATTGGCTGGTTTATTAGGGAATAAATCTATTGAGGTATATGACGATATAATTAAATTTGTTTAAGAAACCCATTTAGAGAAAAGAATATAGAGATAATATAATCTAAGGAATTAATTGTTAGCCCACTCCACCCCACATTTTTTATTTATTCATTTATTTTATTTTTCATTTCCTCCCTCTTTCCTCCCTTTCCCCTCTATTTTTACACTTCAGTTATTGTTCAACCATTCCAGTCGGAGGTGGTAATGCACCTACAAGTCTGGTAGCCAACCGCCAGTAAAACCCAAAGAAAAAGAAGAAACCGATTAATTAAAGTTTTAGGTTTTTCATCTGATACTAAATTATGAACCTGCTGTTGACAATATTATTTTAACCCTTTATACAACTAAGTACTATTTTACTCACAGTAATGAGGACTATTGAACAACGTGTATGTAATAAGTGTCTTACTGAAGCTTTAATTTATTAAACAGTATAATGTCATTCCATTCTAAGTTTACATCACTATATATAAGAAATGTAGTTGTGTTACTAGTTTTAATCAGCTAATTTGTGGCTATAGTTTCTTGCTCAGACTTATCTGATTTATTTTTGTTAATAACTCTCATATAAGAAGAAGAGAAGTTATTTTCTTTCTGTTCATTGTTTTATTCATTTTACATTTTTATTGCTTTGTTAATTTTTAACAGGATAAAGTGTCCAAACGCAGAGAAAAACTATATATAAGTCATGACTAGTTAGAAGAACTAAAACGTGTAGTAGTAATGAATACTTTATACATGAAGGACACCTATTTTACCTTTTTTTCTGTAAAGTTTCAGCTCCAAACACTCATTAGATTATTTGTTATATCGTTTAGAATGTTAAGATTTCTGCTTTAAACAGTCTTAGTGGATTAAACGTTTTTTTAATTGTCTTAAAATGTTTAGAGTAAAGGTTTTGATCAACTCCAAATACTGAATATATGTGCGTCTGTGAGAAAAAAATGGAAACGAGGCAGAAATGTATCAATAAGACTGCAACAGTAAGTGGCAAAGATTTAAAAAAAAAAAAAGACTTTTATTTTGGCGTGACGTGTGACGTCATAAGCCTGCGCCGTTCCAGCGCTGTGATTCAACTGGAGAAAGGTTTGTTTTAAAGCGTTTACACTTCTATAAACTGATTGATTAAAGTTTCTGTTTTTTTTGTCATTCAGTGCTAAATTATGTACCTGCTGTTGATAATATTATTTTACCCTTTATACAACATAGGCCTTATTACTGTGAGTAAAATAGTACTATTGTTTGAATAAAGATATGATACCCTTTTTGTCCCTGAGAGGAAATTTGTCTTGTGCAAAAAAAGTGCTACACATTGCTGTAAGCAGACAATAAGCTAAATAAAACAAACAAAACGATTAAGAACATACATAAAGAATAAAGTTTAAAAAGTTACAGAGATGTGAGTAATAAGTTTCCTTATTGAAGGTTTAATTTATTAAACAGTATAATGTCGTTCCATTCTAAGTATACATCACTATATATAAGAAATGAAGTAATGTTACTAGTTTTAATCAGGTCATTTGTGGCTATTGTTTCTTGCTCAGACTTTCCTGATTTATTTTTTGTTAATTACTCTTATATAAAGAAACTGTTGAAGTAAGTGTTAAGAAGTTATTTTGTTTCTGTTCATTTTTTTTGTCTATTTTAAACAGGATAAAGTGTCCAAACACAGAGAAAAACTCCTGCTGAAGCGACTGATCTCCACACTGTTATAAAGATGGCGTTTATTAAAGAGGAGAGTGAAGATGTGAAGATTGGAGAAACATTCACAGTCAAACAGGAAGATCTGCAGGAACAAACAGGTTGGTTTTCATTCTCAAAGACCAACTCGGTCATTTAATCCTCATTCAGATATATTTTAATAGTAAGAATATTAAATTAAATCCATCTTGCAGCCCTGAGTGTGCTGCCTAGTTCTCCTAAATGCACATAAGCACTCATGAGCTATGTTTCCATCCAAAAATGCAAATTAACTTTATGCTAAAAACTTGATTTTCCATTCAAATGAAATCAACTCACTTTTATTGTCACATCATCAGCAGCACCTGTGCTATGATGAGTGGAAAGCTTAGGTGCTGGCTCCAGACAGTACAAAAAACAGACAGTTTAAATACAACAACAGTGCAAAATACAGACAGTACAAATACAACAACAGTGCAAAATACAGACAGTGCAAATACAACGACAAAGAGTCAAAGCGAACAAAATCATCACTTCCTGATTAACTGGCGCCAAATATCAACAATAAAAATGGAATTTGCTGCGAAAAGAGAAGCTGCATCAATAGCTGCGTTTCCACTATCATGCCTAAAGTGAGCGAGCCAAGGCCGGTCACGTTTCCACTATCACTTCCGGGGCCAAAGCGGGGCTTTCTCGGGGCCAGCGGCCGGCCGTTTTCAGCCCGCCGAATACCTTGGGCCAAAGAGGGCTAGCTGGGGCGGAGTGAAAGGAGAGGCAGACACTAGTTTTCCGATCGCACACGAGTACATGCACCAAACAAATAACCAAATAAAAAAAATAAGGGAAAGAAAACATCTAGCCTTTTAGGCTGGGGTCTTTTTGTGTATAATCGCCCTTTTGTTTCCCTTTTAAATGTAAGGCTGTTGCATAAAATAATAAAGTTTTCATTTATAAGTGACTTTGCTGCAACTTCCTTGATGTTTCAATAACGAATAATACATTTTACACCGTATTTAAGACACAGCAGACAGTAAAGGTTTTTGAGAGTTTTTGTCAAGTTTAAAAGGTGTTTGTGCGTGTTTAGATGCCTGTATGTGAATGTGAGACCGAGCAAAAGAGCGCTGTCTTCACAGCTCTGTTGATGCTGCGAGCGGCTTCTGTTTTTATTTATTTTGAAGATAATACACAACATAAATACAACAGAAAGACATTAAACTCTACAAATTTCGTGTCCGTTTTTGTAGACTCAAAAACAATAGTGTCATATCCTAATAAAATAGCCTAAGATATATTGAAATAATTTAAATAATTACAAATATCAGATATAATAAAATCACATAAAATAAATAAACCAATATAAAACAAATCAAATCTAGCTATAATAATTTAGGTAGCCTATAAACAGTACATAAATCAAAGCATTTTAAAGCCATATTAAACTTTCATTTTACAAAGGCCTATCTGAAAAAAAGATTTTAGATATTTTCTAAAACAATAAACACCGGAGAAGGTTTGAAATATTATTTATAAAGTATATGGATACGATGATATTAATCAAATCATGTAAACAGAGCCTTTTATGGGTGAGTGAAAGCAGAAACTTGGCTACCTTTTTTCTGTCATGAATGCATTATCCGCCTCATTCCCGCTGAAGTGGGCGGGTTGTGTGACGTTTGATTCGGGGGACATTCTGGGGACGGGGTTTGCATGACACGCTGCGAGGTACTAGCCCGACAGTGGAAACGCGACATGATTTCTGCCTCACTGCTCAACCCCCCCTTGCGATTGGCCCGGCCCTGCCCGATAAAAGCCCTGGCTTGCACATGCCCGACAGTGGAAATGCGGCTAATCTTTTCTTCATCTAATGATTGACTTGCGCCTCAGAGGGTAATCCTGAAACACAGTGAACACGCGGTGGCGTTTAAAGGTGTCAGACACGAAGATGCTCTTAATTCTGGAGGTCATGAATAATATAATAACACTAATACTTAAACTGTAAGGCGTTTAAGAATGACCAAAACAAGAGTTCAGATGTTTTATAATGTACTGAGCCGGCTGGTTTGTCCATTCATACACATTTGTATCATCACATGATCTCTTATAACAAAATCACATGACCTTTTTCAATGCACATACTGGAGTTTGTATCGTGTTTTCCATCGTGATTTTTCACCTTTTCTTATCAAATAAAACGTTTATCCTACTCAGTTATGCGCATACTTTTTTTTTTTTTTTTTGCATCATGATGTTTCCATAAACTGTTTTTTTATGTGCATAAAAATAGGTGGATGGAAACATAACTATTGAAAGACAGGAATGAGTTTCTCTCTTGTTACTTGTTCTCGTGTCTTTTGTCATTATTTTATTTATTATTAATCTCCCATTTTCTCTACCTTCTTAAGGCTATTGCTTTTCTTGTTCTCCTACTGTTTGTAAAGTGTCCTTGAGCACCAGTGCTATATAAAATAAATAAAAACTTAAACTGAGCTGAAGATATTTGACCAACAGTATTCTCATAGAAGATATCTTCTATTATTGTGATAGTGTTGGCTTAGTACTCTCCATTTGCATATGTCACATTGATCCAAATTAACTTTTTTCATTGACCTCTTTATTGGTTCTAACTTGTTCCTAGTAGATGTTTCTAGTTCTCACAGATAGTATCTTGAGTTAGAATTACATCATTATTATAATAACTAATTATCAGGGCTATTGTGTTTAAACAGGGTTTCTGCGGGGTCTTAAAATGTCTTAAATTCCAAAATCAAAATTTTCGACCTTAAAAAGTCTTAAATTTACTGAAATGTTGTGTTGTAGGTCTTTAATCTTTTTTTAAACAAGTCTTCATTTTCCTTTTTTATGTTTTGCTACCTAATCTGGCCAAAACCCACACAATCACCAACAATCCATCTCAATAAAACTTTCAACTTTTTATTCAAAAAGGTCATTTTAACTCTATTTGTCATAATAGTTTAATAATTTTCCTTACAATAACATTTGTTTAAACGTGCTCCATGTATTGTGTAGATTTTAGTTTGTTATAGTTTTTAAAAAAATTAAAACATTTGTTCATTTTTAATTATTTTTTAAAGAAAGTTTATTTAGGAAAGAAGTGTGTGGATACAAGTAGAGCTTGCATGTTATTACACACAATTTAAAATCTTTTGCTAAGAAATATCTATAATATATATTTTTAATTTATTTATTATTGTATTATTAAATGTATTAAATTATCAAAAAATTTTAATAAGGCAAATTAAAATGTTTTTCATCTGGGCTATTTGAAAAATTCCTTAGCCTTTAGCGCTTTATGAGTGTAAAATTCTCATAATGGTCTTAAAAATGTCTTTAAAAGTCTTACATTTAACTTAGTGAAACCTGCAGAAACTCTGGTTTAAAGTATAAAAAAAACATGGATGCCCCAATATTAAATATGCTGAATGAAATGGACACTAAAGTAATTAATTATTATAAAACATTGTACAGTACTCTAAACTATATGATGTTGCTGCAGGGTGACGTGAGACTAAATGACTATTGTGGAACAATAACGTTTAACATTGCGCTGACTACAACTGGCCAACAAACTAGTCTAAAAATGACTTTTGCTGCTTAAGAAATGAATTACAGTATGCTGATGATATGCAAACATTTGAGTGTAAAGTTTGTCAGTATTTACCATATTCTTCATGTACCAGCAGGTGCCACCATTGGAATCTTTTTGCTTGAGACTTTTGTTAAAGAATACATTTAATGATCCTAAAAACAGTGTTGTGCTGCTGAGGCATGGGACGATAACCGTTTTCAAGGTTTTTTCAACGCAGTTTGAAAAAAGTCGAGGTTTTAAAACCGCCAATATTTTCTGCTGTACCGTTCATCGCTATATGTAAGTTTTTATTTTTTACATTTTGTTTTAAGTTTTTCAGGACAACAGTATCTCCAGCAAAAAAAAGATCTGCAAAGATGCCATTATAAATTGTAAAGAAATCTGTGTTTATGAAACAAATGAAGACAACAGAAGTCAAGTATTCAATTGAGTGATTTAAGCCTGGTTTATACTTCTGCGTCAAGTAACCGGCGTAACTCACGGCGCAGGCAACGCGTGCAGCTGTGCATTTATACTTCTGTCTTCTGTCTCTGTTGGTCTGCATTAACACTTCCGAAACGCTAGTTGGCAGTGAGGTGTAAATGTTCCTCTGTGTCGAGTTTCTTCGCTTCTGTTTTGCTTTTCCTGAACACTTCCTGGTTGTACAAGTGACTCAATCTCGCTCATTTTGAGGCAGGAACCGGCAGACGTGCAACAACTTTAACTATGAGGTAAACACGAAACAAAACTTTCCATCCGGAGCTCCTTCACGGGACTCCACACTTGTAAACAATCGCTTGCGCCGTTCGCGCGGCTCTTGGTCCTGCCCAGACTCGTCAGTGCTACAAAGCCGACCAATCACAGAGCTTGCGCTACGCGTTGTTGCGACGTGTAGTTAAATTTTTTTGAGAGGTGCACGTCAGTGACGGTGATGGCCACGGTGAAGGGCTATGCGTCAGCGCTGTAGCATATGCCGGCGTTTGACGCAGAAGTATAAATCAGCCTTTAGCCTGACATGTTTACTGCTCCAAAATACTTTAAAAGTTTCTCAAAAGATAATGTTTTGTGTTGAAAGAGGAAAAAGTGTTTGTTTTTTTTACCCAGACATTTAAAAGAATATATTTAAGAGGAGTAATCACAGTACCTTGAAACTGTGATATTTTTTTATTCAAGGTTATCATACTGTCAGAATCTTATACTGACCCATGCCTAATGCTGCTTATTGTAGCAAAGTCATATTTTCTTATTTTATTGTTTTTCTTTGTATGTATAGTCATGAACACACTTGTTTGCAGAGCAAGAGAACCTGTCTCTGAAAGAGAGTTTTCTGTCGGTCTCCTCCCCTTTTTAAAAGATAAAGCGGTATTTCTCACTAAGCCTTACATATTGTGCTTTTTGGATAGGCTATGAGCATAAAAAATTGGTTGATTGAAACGTCACGATGCACATAACCTTTGAAATGTAAGCATAAAGAAACATGCGCATAACTGAGTAGGACAAACTTTTTATTCGATAAGAGCAGATAAACTCACGTAAACAACGCAATCGCTTTTACTGAACAAATTCCAGTATGTGTGTTTAAAAAGGTTTGTTATAAGAGATCATATGATGATGAAAATGTGTGTGAATGCACAAACCAGCAGGCTGAGAACATTATAAACATCTGAAATGTTGTTTTGGTCATTCTAAAACACCTGAACCGTTTCAGTATTCATGTTATTATATTATTAATGACCTCCAGAGCATCTGTTCTCTGCGTCTCATTGCTTCAAACGCCAGCATGTGTTCATTGTGTGCCAGCATTGTCCTCTGAGCTGTCATTTAAATAAAAGATTCATGTAGCTTCTTCTACAGCAGTAAATTCTGTTTTTACTGTTCTTAATTGGGGCCTGTTAATCAGGAAGTGACGATTTTGTTCTCTTTGATGCATTGGATGGAAATGCAGCTTTATTCGCACATCTTTTATGTGACATCCCAGTTTTGCGCATAAATTCAATTAGCGTTTTTTGGATGGAAACATAGCTATTGTCTACATTTCAGTTACACAAAGAACAAAGTCACATAGCAGAATGGCTTGTCCTTTCTTAATGAATAATTAGCTTAAATTCACTGACCTTTGACGGACATGTACTGTAACTAGATTAATGAGATTATTACTAGTTCTAAAAAGATTTTTTAGTCCTGCTTACATTCTAAATGTCAAATCAACCTCTACCACTTGATAGGGCTGTGCAATTAATCGAAAATCTGGTTTCAATTTCGATTTTGGCTTCTAATGATTATGAAAAACCATTAATCGAGATAAACGATTATTCCATCATATAGAACACACATCTAGAGCCATCTTAATCTGAGCGCTTTAATGGTCAAATGCATGCAAATTTGGGTCAGAGTGCTGTGTTTAGTGAATATTCATATTAACCCTTATTTGTGTAATAAACAAACAAGTTGAGAATCAAAAGACATGTGAAAGAGAAACCATATCAGAGCCGCACTTTTCTTAAAGTGACAGTGCGCAATATTCCTGCTGCCGACTGTTTTTAGCATTAATCAAACAACAAAAGGAGAAAATCACTCACTGCTCTTGACTGAAAGACTTTTGCAGCTCAAATATTTTTCTGAAATTGAAAACTCTGAGTATTTAATCTCTCGTTAAATGAACTCAGAGATCAAGATTAAACTCTGAGTTGGTTGAACCTCCTTACTGAAACAGGCCCCAGGTCATCATGACATGATTGACAATTGTCAGTTTGTCATTGTACTCTGTTTATCCTGAGAGCTGATGCTGAGTATTCTTAGGGCTTTTCACACTTCAAATTGTTAACCCTGGGTCATTCTAACCCTGGATAAATTCTGGGTTATCTGTAGTCACCTTCCACACTGCTCATGCTATACCTGGGGTTAAAAAATAATCCTGGGTGTTCATTAACAGACAGTTCACATTTTTAATCCCTGGGTTATCATTATTATTTTGTATATTTACGTTGTTACTGTCCCTGATTGGACAAACTACAAGTAACCTTTTTAGATGGCATTTCTGCATCTTGTCGGGTAGACCAAGTAGGTCTTCAGCTAAGCCTCGGGGCATACACAAAGACAAGAAAACAAAAACAAAAGTACAAATAAATAAAAACAAGTAACAAAGTATGTCATCTTGCCGTATCCTCATCACTCCTGTTTAAAGCAAATGTGGCATTGAGAATTTGCATAAGTTTTATATAATAATGCAAACTTGCAAATATAAGCGTGAATTATGCATACTTGCTATGAACATGCAGGATTTGTCTCAATCGAGGAAAAAACATGAGTAATCTAGAGCGAGTGCATTTGGTTATTTCCATTTAAAGTCACAGGCACAAAAAGAGCTTGGTTTGCCTTTGACCCCCAAAATTAAATATTCTACAAGGTATATGATCTGATTTTGAGCTGAAACCTCAGACACATTCTGGGAACACCAAAGTCTTATTTTACATCTTGTAAAAAATTAGTAATTGTAGGAACCTTTTAAAGGGATAGTTGTGCAGAAATGAAAATAGCCTCACCATTTACTCTTCCTCGTGTGGTTTTAAACCTTTATGAGTTTCTTGATCCTGTTAAACACAAAAGAAGATATTAAAAAAAGAAAAAGAAAAAAAAAACGCTACTGGCTTACTGTGTTCCACAATAAAGGAAAAGTCTAAAACTACATGACGGAGAGTAAATGGTAAGGCCATTTTCATTTGTGGGTGAAACATCCATTTCTTGCTTATCGCTTTGAGCCTTCATACTAAAGTTAACTTTTTTTTTTTTTTTTTAGATCTGATGGTGCTGAAAGAAGAGACTCATCAACAGAATGGAATAGATGAGAAACAGCAGTTTGAGAAACCCCAAGAAATAATGACTGATGAAAAACCCCCACTGACTAAAAAGACTTCATCACACGAAAGACCTCGGAAATCAAAATCTGGGTGTAATTTTAGCTGTAAACAGTGTAGAAAGAGTTTCAGTCAGAAGTCAAAGCTTGATGTTCACATGAGAGTTCACACAGGGGAGAAACCTTACACCTGCGAACAGTGTGGAAAGAGTTTTGGTCAAAAACAAAGCTTTAAAGCCCACATGAGAATTCACACTGGAGAGAGGAAGTTCACATGCCAAGAGTGTGGAAAAAGCTTTTATCATGCTGGAAACCTTGCAGCACACATGAGAATTCACACTGGGGAGAAGCCTTTCAGCTGTAATCAGTGTGGAAAGAGTTTCTGTCAAAAGCCAAACCTTGATGTTCACATGAGAGTTCACACAGGGGAGAAACCTTACACCTGCGAACAGTGTGGAAAGAGTTTTAGTCAAAAACAAGGCTTTAAAGCCCACATGAGAATTCACACTGGAGAGAGGAAGTTCACATGCCAACAGTGTGGAAAAAGCTTTTATCATGCTGGAAACCTTGCAGCACACATGAGAATTCACACTGGGGAGAAGCCTTTCAGCTGTAAGCAGTGTGGAAAGAGTTTCTGTCAAAAGCCAAACCTTGAGGATCACATGAGAGTTCACACAGGGGAGAAACCTTACACCTGCGAACAGTGTGGAAAGAGTTTTAGTCAAAAACAAAGCTTAAAAACCCACATGAGAATTCACACTGGAGAGAGGAAGTTCCCATGCCAACAGTGTGGAAAAAGCGTTTATCATGCTGGAAACCTTGCAGCACACATGAGAACTCATACTGGAGAGAAGCCTTTCAGCTGTAAACAGTGTAGAAAGAGTTTCAGTAAAAAGCCGAACCTGATTGCTCACATGAGAGTTCACACTAGGGAGAAACTTTACACCTGCGAACAGTGTGGAAAGAGTTTAGGTAAAAAACAAGACCTTTACATCCACATGAGGATTCACACTGGAGAGAAACCTTACTCATGCACAGAGTGTGGTAAAAGTTTCCCACATAAAAGCTCACTCAAACACCACATGAGAACTCACACCGGAGAGAAGCCGTTTACATGTGATCAGTGTGGAAAGAGCTTCTCAACCAAAGCTAGCCTCAAGAACCACATGAATGGTCACACTGGAACCATAGTGTTCACATGTGATCAGTGTGGAAAGAGTCTCACTCGCAAAGACTCCATTAAGAACCATATGAAGATTCACTCAGAAAAGGATCATTTTAGATGCAGTGAGTGTGGAAAGGGCTTTAAGTGTAAAAGAAGCCTCAGCGCTCACCTAAAGCTTCACAGTAGAGAGCAGAGTCCTCAACATTGAGGCCTTGTCCACACAAACACGGATATATTCAAAACGACAGCTTTTTCACTGAGTTTGGCTGTTTATTCACGTTAAGTTTATTTATAAACTACCTTTGAGAGGATCACATGCTTATGATTGTCCACAACTGGTCGCACATTAGATAAAACATGATTCACCAATCAGATGATTCCTAACTCACTATAAATAGAGTTTCTTACCTTAGTTATATTCATCTTGAAGAATCCCCCTCCCACCTTTACTCCCCCTTCTTTCTAGATTAGGCAACACAGCAGCCCAGTGGTTAGCACAGTTGCCTCACAGTAAGAATGTCACAGGTTAAAGTCGCTACTAACCAGTTGACATTTTTGTGCAGTTTGCTCATTCTCCTAGTGCTCGTGTTTGTTTCCCCTGGGTTCCCTAGTTTCTTCCCACAGTCCAAAAACACACAACCTAAGTAAACAGAACATTACATTGGCACCATAGTCGAGCTCTTAGTAAGCCTTATATCTCCCTTAAGCCAACCCTATATCTGTCATTAGAATAGAAACAAGTCTAGGGAGTTCATCGAGATCACTCTTTGCTACAAACTGAATGTTATTTAAAACTTTATTACCTGTTATTCACAGCTTATGCAGGTTCTGTTCACTAAAGTAGACTTCATTCAGTGTGCACACCCGCCCACTCTGTGGTAACAGCTGACGGTCAGCTCACGTCACGTGTGATTTTGCGGTCATAAATACATTATTACATGAAGACAAAAATGAAATTTTTGGGGTGAATTATATCTTATAAATACAGCATGTGACTCTTTCAACACCATTCGGAGGTGTCCACTTTGCTAAACAACAAATGTAAAACTATGTGAAGACTTGTTCGGCCACTTTTTCTTCTCTCCTGAACTTGAAAATATGATTGACAGAATCATAACAATGCTGGATTAAGATCGTCCAGTGGCGTTGCGAGGGGGGGGCTTTGGGGGCTTAAGCCCCTGGTGTATTGTCAAAAGCCCCTGATCTCTTGGAATATGTTGTATTTAAATAAAAGTATGTTGTATAATATTTATTTTGTTATCTAAGTACTGAAAATTACCACATACATCACGAACATTCCACTTAACGCAGCGTTTGTGTTAGGTAATTAAATCGTCAGCTGTTCAGCAGTACCTGTTTCTACCGGCAGGTGGGAGTGGCTCTGTTGTCACATGGTGTTAAAAAAATCCCACCACTGCACTTTATTCATTCATTATTTTGAGGAGCTGAAGCTAATGAGGTAATAATACAACTCTTTCGTGAAACTGAATAGTTTTAACTACTGATTAAACTTATTTATTTGTTTTCACAGTATAAAATTTGTGTAGTTTTGGTGAAATAAAATAACTATAATCAGTAAAGTGGGCATCATATCAATGTAAATACATGCGAGTTAGTCAAAAAAACGTAAATTGTACTAGCTTTCTAGATATGAAATAGATATCTAGGCATATTTATATGATATAGCAAGTCACATCTGTTTCTGTAATAGTTACATCACAGTGAGTTCATCTAGCTTATTATTATATAGCTATATTCTACTGTAACATGCTATGTCAGTTAGCATCGAATTATAAATCGACTTTCTTATGGAAATAACTAAAATGGTTGGAAGAACACATACAGTTAAAGTCTGAATTATTAGCCCCCGTTTATTTTTTCCCCCAAATTCTGTTTAACGGAGAGAAGATTGTTTTCAACACATTTCTAATCATAATAGTTGTAATAACTCAACTCTAATAACTGATTTATTTTATCTTTGCCATGATGACAGTAAATAATATTTGACTAGACATTTTTAAGACACTTTTATACAGCTTAAAGTGACATTTAAAGGCTTTAAAGGCAGGTTAGGGTAATTAGGCAAGTTATTGTATAATGATGGTTTGTTTTGTAGAATAGGAAAAAATATATCTTAAAGGGGCTGATAATTTTGACCCTAAAATGTTTTTTTTAAAAATGTAAAACTGCTTTTATTCTAGTTGAAATAAAACATAAGACTTTCTTCAAAAGGAAAATATTATCAGACATAGGCTACTGTGAAAATTTCCTTGCTCTGTTAAACATCTTTTGGGAAATATTTAAAAAAGAAAATAAAATTCAAAGGAGGGCTAATAATTGTGACTTCAACTGTATAAAACATTTATTATCACAGTCGTGTAAATGAGTAGTAATTATGGGGGACTACCTGTCAAAAAGTTTGATGGATTGTAGCCCCGCCCCCATAAGGCGGGACTTCCGGTCCAAGCCCCGCCCCTTTTATATAAACTTTATAGTTCCGGTAATTAGATTCTTATCGGTTAATATATAATAATAATTTCGGTAATTAGATTCTTATCAGACTAATTAAATGAATAATTCTGGTAATTAGATTTTTATCAGACTGAAATAAAATTATTATTATAATAATAACGGTAATTAAATTACTGTTATTAGAAGCATTATTTTAAATTTTTAATTATTGCAGTAAATTATATTATTATAGTACATTAAATTATATTATATTAAGTTATATACAATTAATATTTTCTTAAATAATATTATGTATTGTATTATATTATATCATATTAAGTTATATTAAATCATTATTTTATTAACTTATATTATAATTATATCATATTATATAATATTATATTATATATTATAATATTTATATTTATATTATATTATATATCATTATTATTCCATTATACTATATTATATTAAATTATATTATATTATATTATATCATTACATTATTATATTATATTATATCATTACATTATTATATTATATTAAATTATATTTTATTATATTATATTATATCATTACATTATTATATTATATTATATTATAATTAATAAACTATTAACATAAAAATTTCTTTATGTTCATACCGTTGTTTCCTCTGTGTGTCAGTCTGGGCCTGAGCGTGTGAGTGATGATAAGGAAAACTTTGGATAACATCCCGTCAACTGCTTGTGAAAGAAAGATTTATGTCAGATGTAGAATATGTATATCTGATTGTATGTGGTGGGTGTCTCCCACTAAATACTATATGTTGTTAGGTGATTAGAAAGTGTGCTGATATCTATATATCCACATGCAGTCAACTGTATGCGTGTGTGTGTGTGCGTGCGTGCGTGTTACTAAATATGTTCATTAATAGGATATGTTGTTTTTTACATTACTACTACATTAATACATATTTAAAGACACACAAACATCTTGATGTATCTTTGTTGGACTATTAAATTTAAATTTGTTTACAATATTAATCCAGTAAATAACAAATCTTAATCTGTATTAACAATAAATTGTCACACCTTTTAAAACAACGTTATCTAAAATGTAATGTTCTAAACTGTTGGTTGAAAAACACAGATGTAAATTCAAGTTGTCTTTGTAATTAATGAAAACTTTTATTATGAAAAACAATTTAAAATGAAAGTTTTTCCTTTGACTAACATGTTTTCAATTTATTTACATACATCTCGTGTAATTCCTGGCACACATTGTAATACAGTCAATCCAAAGATTAATGTTTTGAGCACTGGTCATCACTGGTGTAGGTTTAAAAATCAACATAAAAAGTTTACTAAAAGGACGTATCAGTCTTTAGACATTATTGTTATTTCTGTTTCAAAAGATAAATAAAATGTAATTTTATTACTATAATTTGTAGTAATTGCATTACTAGACAACTTAGTTACTGAATTTTAGATTCAAACTGTTTTTTTAATTCATTGCAAATACTTGATCATATAAAGAGAAATATGTATATTATTCAGAATAATGGAATATCACTGATATTTATTTTAAGAAGAAAAATTGGCTCTCAGTTTATCTAAAAACAGTACAGCTCCAACCCTTAGTTAAATCTACTTAATGTTTTATAGTAAAATTTTCTAGTTTAACTACTGAATCCACCATTTACATGTTCATACAATAGTGTCAAATCTACTAAGTTTACATATTTGTCAAAATTAGTCAAGTTTACAAGTAGTTCTTGAAAGTAGACTGATTACTTTTTTACAGGGTAAATGATGCTTTTCTTATACCAATAGACTTAATCAAGATTATTGTCACTACACACAATTTGTTGGGAGTGTTTATGTTTCTTTAAACAATGTTTTTTTATTGGCAAACACATTTTTAAATTATCAATCTAAAATCTACCTGAATGTTTTCCACTCTGAATATAAAACCTTTATCTGTGCATTTCACATGGAAAAGTGAAGTTTAAAACACTATTCATTAAACTTACTGTATGAGTGGAGCTTTATTTTTACAAACCAATAGCATTGACCTAATTCAAGCTTTTGGTTATGTACTGTGTAGCAGTTTGTCAACAGAATATGTAAACTTTTTTATGCTAAAAATCTGTAATTTTGTGCAACTGTGTTGTATGTTACAAAGCATACATGTTTTTAAAACTGTCAGTTTTCAAAAGTCACCTAACGTTGTTTCCATTCTTCTGGTTTTTTTTAGGAACAACGATGCTTCATTTGGGGGGAAAGAAAAAAAGTAATGTTTTGAAGTACATTGGTTACAATTTCTGGGTTTCATCCAGACGGCCTGGGCTCAACTCATGATTTGGGAATATATATATATATTTTTAACCTAAAGTGTACCAAGTAACATTAATAACAACACTTAGCCCCAGTTATTTGTGCCATAGTTGAATGCTTTACTCAATACTGTCAACAAAGCACAATAATATCAAAGAGTAAACACTTTTTTATTTTAAGAATACTTTGCAGTAAACTTTATTGCATGAATAAGTTTATTTTATCTACCTTCTGATACAGAATGTTTTGAAACATTTAATTATGTTTTTACGACCACGGATATCTCACCAAAATATTTCACCTAATTCAAGTAACCAGTGCTGTAGTTTTAAAAACAAAATGTCTTTGCTAACTTTTTTTTGCATATGTGTTAAAAGTCTAATTTAACACAACTCTCATAGCATCTGTTACGATGCATACAGTAAAAGTCACAATAACCATTTCTACTGCCAATTATCTTTTGTTGTCTAATTCTTCACAATATTTTTTTCACAAGAACTATGAATCTACAAAGGCAAGGCAAGGCAAGACAAGGCAAGTTTATTTCTATAACACATTTTATACATAGTGTCAATTCAATGTGCTTTACATAAACAGGAACAAAAGAGACATGTTTAAGAAAAATAAAAACAAATAATAAAAAAATATTAAAAATGATAAAAACAGATCAAATGTGTTAAAACAAGTTATAAAAGAATGAAAAGAAGAGAAAAACATAATACTGTGATCCGTCAATAGTGTGATCTGTCTACAAAACTAAATGAATATTTGCCACTAAACCTGCATTAACATCTTTTTGCAACAGTATCTAATGTACTGTGTATTAAAAATGTTTTCTTTTGAACTGTCATGAAAGTTTGAGTTGTAAATTTTTTGGTTAGAGACAACAAACAATATAATGTATACCTTTTGTTCATTCTCTTTTTCAAATGAAAGAGAAATTATGAAATTATACATCAGTGCATCTTTAAAACTAAATTGGGCAAAAAACTTTAGGTTGTCTTTCTAAACTGACTACAAAACCGTTATACATGAGAACTGTGTGTTATTGGGTTGTCTTAAACGTTAACCAACGCTAATAAATGATCTACAGTTTATACCTTTATGCTTTAGACAAGTAACC